ATCGATCGGGCCTCTCCCGTATCTGTACGGTGGTACAGTCTGTCGGTCCGTCCGTAGTCATTGCTCTTCATAGGAAAGATGTCTCCGTACTCGGTGAGGAGCAGTTCCAACTCTCTGGATTCAGCGTCACTCAGGTTTGGCCTGGCTGCTACAATCACGTCTTGTAGTTACGGAGTAGCGTCTTGAACTTGTGGTTGTTCAGCGTCGGGTGGGGTCATCAACGCGACGTGCCAGGGAGATCCTTTTGTGGGCTTCTGGTCGCGACGGGTAGCATTCAGGACCCTCACTCCAGGCTATGTAGTGTCTTTCGGGAGCGGGGGTCTCAGGACTCTGTTCAATCAGGCTACTTGCTACTCCGAGGGGGCTCTCCAACCGATCCAACACGACTCCCTCGCATTGTGTAGGTCTCACCTGAACTTTGGCTACTACCGGACTTGCAGACCGGGGCTCCACAGCGATACCTCTTCCTCAGAAGGACGCAGCACTTGGCACCCTAGGCCCACTTTTAACTCCTACTCTGGGTTACTTCTTTGGGCACAGAACTCATGCAAACCGTCAAATGACAGCGTGGTCTGGGATTCGCATGATCTTGAACAGAATGAAGGCAGAGGTCGCGGATTTGCTCACAAATCTTCCATTTCCGAGTTTCTGGCTTTGGCCTCCCTCTCCACCAACTGCTGTCTTTCTTTAAAGACGTTACTACGAGCCAGGCTGCCGTAAGCGGGGCACAGATGTACTCTATTGGCATAAGAGCACAAAAGCATTTATGTGCATAAATGACTTATGAAACCTCATTCTTAGGATGTTAAGAATTGTGGAGAAACACTTCTTTGGCATTCGGAGGAAAACACTCGGAAGAAATGAAAACTGGTTGCAATTAGAACAGTCAAGAAAATCAATCACTGAATTCATATTTTTTTCCCTTGGCACTACAGCCCCAGTGGGCCTACGCCTACCTCCATTAACTCCGTTCACTTCGGTTTTTCTAGATCTTACACATACGGTAGGACTCCTTGGGCGAGTGATCAGCTCGTCGCAAGGCCTCTACCTGTAGACAAGCACAGAAAAACGCACACAAACATCCATGCCCTGAGTGGGATTCGAACCGACGATCCCGGCTTCCGAGCGAGCGAAGACAGTGCATGCCTTAGATCGCTCGGCTACCGTGACCGGCGAATTCATATTTCCTGCCGTAAACAACTTTAAATGGTTTTAGGAGAGAAACTCTGCGCTTGGATACAGAGCTCAACATGAAGGCGCTGTTCATTTTATTCGCTCCAACAATATTGTGACATGACGCCTGAAATCTAAGTCAGAAATGAAGCCTTTAGTTTATGTGGTGTCATCATTGTTCGTAGTTACGAAGTGTTACAGTTCCACCTGATGAATATCCAATAATTCGATTCATCTAATCCCGAACCAATTGATTACCAGGACGCGTGACAGTATTAACATTAAATGAGGCCACTAGCCGCCACTGCACGACAGACACACCTTCCGACATGCAGGTCTCAGCAGCAGTACTCGCGTCTGACTCATTCTGCACTCGGAATGGAGTGCGTGCGACTTCTGAAAATCAAATCAGTGATTCATAATTTACCCATATTATTTAGGAGTCGAGATAGCTTATTCGTTATAGGACGGGCTGTAGGCTGGGGTTCGATTCCCGGAAGAGAGAAGATATTTTTCTCTACTCCACAGCCTCCTAACTGGCTTTGGCGTCCACCCGGCCTCCTAAGCCAAGGGGTGCTGGAGGCACGTCCCTGGGGGTGAAGAGGTCGAGGCGTGAAGCTAACCACTCACTTCCATCCAATGCCGAGATCAGTAGTGGAGCTCCACTCCGCCACATGTCTTCATGGCGTTGTGCTTAATTAAATTAGCACATGGACAGCTTTATGGGCATTATTTATTTATAACCATAAACTCTTGAAATCGTATTTAATTAAAAGAGATCACATTTATGTAACTGACTTCATGGAGATGAATCCGGCGTGAGAAGATAGTGACTAGTGACTCGGCTAGTGTAAATAATTCTCCTACTTTCATGAAACCAGAAAGTGTATAATGAGGAACTTCATAACGTGTACTCTTCTCCGAGTATAATTAGAATGATCAAGTTAAGGAGGATGAGGTGGGGAGGGCATGTAGCACGAATGGGGGAGACGAGAAATTCATATAGGATATTGGTGGGAAAGCCAGAAGGAAAGAGACCACTGGGAAGACCAAGCGTAAGTGGGTGGACAATATTAAAATGGATCTTAGAGAGACAGGATGGGGTGGTATGGATTGGATTGATCTGGCTCAGGATAGTAACCAGTGGAGGGCTCTTGTGAACACGGTAATGAACCTTCGGGTTCCATAAATTGCTGGGAAAATCTTGAGTAGCTGCAGAATTGGCGGCTCCTCAAGGAGGGC